TGTGATGTATAGTTGGTTTATATGTAAGATGTCCAACATTTTTAAGATGCTTGAGATAATTGATTATTCAATTCAGTGAATTATGTGTGAACATTTAACTCTATTCAACTTTTTTTTAAAAAGTGTGCAATTCTTGATTTTGAATGAATTATATTCCTGGGTTCCATGTTAAGATTGCTGCCACCTAATTCACTGATCGAGTCATTAAGCAGAGAATTCATGAGCTTGGATTATCATTGACTCATTTGCCTCATTGTGACTTCAGTTGATGCTAATTGTGTAAAATATCAGACTGTGCTGTTCAGATTTGACTGCTATTGCTTTCAGAAAAGCACAAGGTAACATAACTGAAAACAGTCTCATAATTACAACTTGGGCAAATCCGTATGATATTCCAGCTGAAATCAGCTCTGATGTGATCAAAACAGGTCAATGGCTGAGGTATGTTTTTAAAAAAAAAAAAACACTATTTAAGTGGTTCAGTTTTTTGTATTGCACAGCCATTCTCGGTCTCAGTAATCCCTGACCTGTTAACTCACTCTGTTGGCAGGGTTTGGTACTCTGAATCCACAACACTTGGGACTGAGATGGTCTTTCCTGGTAATAAAGATCAGAACAAAGACACATTAGTGTCACTGAACTTCCATCTCATAATTGGTTAAGGGCTTCCCTGCCCTGAATTACTGACATCTGCCTACTTTTTGTTAAAACTTTCTTTCAGGAGTTGTGGGCATCCTGGATAAGGCCTGTATTTATGGCCCATCCATAGTTGCCAATGAACTGAGGGGCTTGTTTGGCTATTTCAGAGGCAGTCACAAGTCAACGCCATCTGTGGCTGTGGAGTCACATGTAGACCAAACTGGGTCAGGATGGGAGATTTTACTTTTTTTTTTAAAGCACATCAGTGAAGCGATAGGTCTATGCAACAATCAACAAGTTTCATGATCACCATTAGTGAGGCCAACTTTCAATTTCAGATTGATTTCATTGGATTTAAATTCACCAGCCATGGGTGAGATTTGAACCAACCTCCCCGGAGAATTAGCTGGGGATTTCTAGCCTAGTGATAAGCTGAGTTATCTTCCTCCCTGTGATTTCTTATCCAATTCCTTTTAAACAACTACTAAATCCATTGAAATTCTGCATAGTGACCATTTGCAGCATAGGAGTAAAAGGTTTACTCCTCACTTTTCTCATTCACATTTAAATCTACCTCCTGTAGTTCTTGACCAATCAAATAAAAGGACCTGTTTCTATGTATCTACTCTGAGATTCCTCAGGAATTTTGAGGTTACTTGTTGCCCAGGATTGGAGGATTAAAATCCTACTCTAAACTTCTGAACAGTGGAACTCCTCTATTATCTGATCTGTCCCCTCTCATTCTTTGAACATCTCGCCAACTGTGAGACCCTTTTTATGGGATGTTAAATAAGGTAATAGGGAGGGATAGGGGAGAGGCTCTTGTGCAGAGGTAGTGTACCTCTGGGATCAGGAGGCCTGGGTACAAGTCTCACCTGCTCTGGAAGTAGGTAATAACACCTCTAAACAGAAAATCTCTAAGACAATGGTTCTGGAAGGGTTAATGTTGGAGACTGTATTAAGCTCCACCTAATTTAACAATGTCATAAACCTTGTGGGTGAGGGGGTGGGGGGCAGTGGGCCTAGCTTGAGGTCTCAATGGTGTCTGGTGTATCATCCCTAGCTCCTGATGGCCTAGGTAGACCATAATTGAAACTCGTGCTAAAATGCCATGAACAGTACTGGATCTGAAGACTTACCTCCACTTTGTCCTCTACCATTGTTAACAAAACATGCCTTGGGCACAGTTTGAAAAGGAGAATTGTTGTCCACACTTTACCCCAATCATTAATGGGTTCTGATGTGCTTTGTTGCACACAAAACATGGGGTCATTTGTGAAACACCATTTCAGAGTCCATACACATCTCATCAACCATATTATCCTCTTTAACTCTTTCTGCTGCTACTTCAAAAAAGAAACTCTAAGATAGGAAAGCACATTTTCCCTTGAGAATCTGAGCTCGCTTGTGTTGATTCAAGTAAATGTGCCCAGATAATGATTTTGAATTTTAAAATCCAATAGTTTGCCAAAATCAAACATGTATTTAACAAGGTAGAGCAGTGATGGAAAGCTTCCTTAATGGGAGCATACCTGTCACTTGGAGCATTGGAACATGATGCAGTGAGAGGGGAATTAATATTGGTTATGTTTTTGTAACACTTAGCATAAATAAGGATATAAGAAGAAGTGCAGGATTATAACATCCTGAAGCTTGATTCTGAAGCATCATTCTATACTGGATGGATGTGGATAGGACATTGTGATGAATTGGTAAAAACATCACACCGAACCCACCAATGAAAAAGAAAACTTGCAAATTGATTTCTTTGAATTCAGTTGTGTCCTTGTTCTATCAGTTCTCCACAGAAGCTGACTCTTTCTAATCCATTTTGTGTTTTCATCTCTGAGCCCTTTCATTCTAGCTCCTTCGCTTTATTCTACTTGAAAATATAAATATTAAGACTTCGCCTCCTGTTGTCCGGACAATACCGACAAAGCTGAGTCTTTCCTAATTCCCAGCTTTGCCCTCAATCTTTAACCAACAAAAGACCTCTCTCTCACTCAGGTCTTCTATCTATAATTCAAACTTAGAAACCTCTCTCTCCTCCATTCCAGCGAGCGAAGTTTTCACTCAACTGGGAGGCCAAAGCCTGGATCTGTATTCTCCAGAGTTTTGAAAAATGATCTCATTGAATCTTAAAGGGCATGACAGGACACATTTAGACAGGATGTTTCCCCTGGCTGTTGACTGTAGAATCAGGGGACAAAAATCTCCAGAATAGGCAATAGTCCATTTAAAACTAAGATGAGGAGGAATTTCTTCACACCGAGATCATAAATCTTTGAAATTCTCCACCCAGACTGCTGTAGAAGGGAAAACATTGAGCAGGTTCAAGCCAGAAGTCAGTAAGTTTTTCTGGAGGTTATTCACATTGGCAGATATGGAACGAGTGTAGAAAAGGTGGTCAGTCATAGAACAGAGAATGGTACAGCACAGGAACAGGCCCTTCAGCCCACCACCCATGATGCCATGATCTAGAATGGTGGAACAGGCTGGGATGAATGGCCACCTCCTGTTCATATATTCCTAAAAGGGTCACATGTTCCCCGAATGATGATCTCAATACCCAGTCCTTTTCTCACATACACTTAAAGTATATACTGAATGTTACTGGGTTGCTTTATTGTTTTGTATTTGTTGCATCTAAGATCATGTTGATTTTCAAGTTAAGAAATGTGGATGAATTGGAAAATTAGCATTTCCAAGATGTTCATCTAATTAGTTCCCTTATATCCTACATGTGCACCATATACACGTGGTCTTGTATTTAAATGTTTCAAATTAACACCACATGGTACAACTGATGTTGACAATATCCTTAATCCCAAGCCAAAGGATCTCCATGTTTTTCTTCCACCACATTTCTAGGTCATGGGGCACTTTTCTTCCTTACTTTTCTCTTGCTGCTTCTGCTATTTTAGTGTAGCCTTTTGCACTTCCTCTGCCTGGACCAATCCTTTGTTTCATACTTGTCCCATTGTCACTCCTTTTGGTCTTAACAGCAGCATCGTTTTTACCATTTGATCACTCCTGCCCTCCACCTGAAATACTATCTCTATTACTTTTTACAGATGCTGCCTTTTCCATTTTTATACCAAACTAACTGGGACCTAATCTACTTTCTAACTGCTTGTGGGAGGTTAGCAATTCTCCTGAAGTCCAGCATTTCCAACTTTGAT